TCTCCTGCCTCAGCCTCCCGAGTAGCTGGGACTACAGGCATGTGTCACCATGCCCAGCTAATTTTTGTATTTTTAGTAGAGACGGGGTTTCACCATGTTGACCAGGATGGTCTCCATCTCTTGACCTTGTGATCTACCCACCTCGGCCTCCCAAAGTGCTGGGATTATAGGCGTGAGCCACCGTGCCCAGCCTGTTTTTTCTTTTTAATAGAAGCCATTCTGACTGGTGTGAGATGGTATCTCATGGTGATTTTGATTTGTATTTCTCTAATGATTAGTAATGTTGAGAATTATTTCATATGCTTGTTTGCCACATACATATCTTCTTTTGAAAAGTGTTGCCCAATTTTTAATGGGATTGTTTTTTTGCTTGTGAATTTAAGTTTCTTATAAAATTTTATTTATTTATTTTGAGACAGAGTCTTGCTCTGTCACCCAGGCTGGAATGTAGTGACATGATCTCAGCTCACTGCAAACTTTGCTTCCTGGGTTCACGCGATTCTCCTGTCTCAGCCTCCTGAGTAGGTGGAATTACATGGCACCATGCCCGGCTAATTTTTGTATTTTTAGTAGAGATGGGGTTTCATCATGTTGACCAGACTAGACTCAAACTCCTAACCTCAAGTGATCTGCCTGCCTCAGCCAAAGGGTTTTTATAGTTTTAGATTTTACATTTAAGTTTTCAATCCATCTTGATTTGATTTTTGTGTATCATGTAAGGAAAGGATCCACTTTCCATTTTCCGCACATGGCTAGCCAGTTATCTCAGCACCATTTATTGAATAGTGTCCTTTCTCACACATAGCAAAATTTTCAAAATACAGAGTAACTTTTAACCACAAGAAAATTCTAGAGCTGTTTTAATCTAAACCATTACCACTGTGGGTTTACAGTTACTATAAGAATGGCTTAAATATATTTTTCTAATATAATTTCTTTTCCCAAATCAGTTAAGTTAGCATGCAAACCATGTGGAAGTAGTATGGGTTACTACATCTGTCCTACATATTATTCTATACCCTAGAAACCCAGCATATTCTAGTCTTTAAATTCTAAGTTATTTGGCCAGGCATGGTGGCTCACGACTATAATCCCAACATTTTAGACTGCATGAAGCCATGACTGACTGAGAATCACTCTCTGGGTAGATAACAGGCACCTTTCTGGCCCCTTCCCTCAGATTCTTTCCTCCCTCCTCCACCTAAAGACAAGGCCTCCAAGTCCTTATGGTACCTTGTGATGACTTTAAAAGGCATGTTCAACTTTAAAAAGGTCCTAATTAAGGCTGGGCATGGTAGCTCACACCTGTAATCCCAGCACTTTGGGAGGCCGAGGTGGATGGATCACTGAGGTCAGGAGTTCGAGACCAGCCTGACCAACATGGTGAAACCCTATCTCTACTAAAAGTACCAAAAAATTAGTCGGACGTGGTGGCATGCGCCTGTAGTCTCAGCACTCGCAAGGCTGAGGCAGGAAAATCATTTGAACCCAGGATGTATAAGGTGCAGTGAACTGAGATTGCAGCACTGCACTCCAGCCTTGGTGACAGAGCGAGATTCCCTCTCAAAGAAAAAAAAAAAAAACTAACTTGTTTGAGAAAATTATGTTAAGTACAGCTTAGCAAAACTTGTTTACTCTAAGTTTTAACTCAAAACACCAATCAAGTTATTTTATCAAAATTGGCAAAGGACCATAATCTTTGTCTTCACCATTGCCTGAGTTGTTTAAAAAACAAAAACTAAGTACCTGGCACAGATGTAGAATCCTCTGCACACCAGGGACAACTGCTCCAATGATCTGAGGTCCAAGTCACTAGACACCACCCATCGGAAGATGTACATGAGGACCTCCATTGGCAGCACTG